TAATTCATTGCTCGTAACATAATCGCGAATAATTATAAAAGCGGATCAAGTATAATAATTAATTTATAATAAGAATTATAACTCGAATATACAAAATCGTAAAAATTATTTTCATGAAGTAAATATTTTCGAAACTATTAATTATTTTGATGTAATAATAGTAATACTGGAATATAAAATTAAATTATAAATTATACATTAATCTATTTATTGTCATACGTTAAATCATAATTAATCCACATTATATTGAAGAAATAAAAAAAATTTTTCTATCATAGTGAATTATAATTCGAATATATAAAATCGTAAAAATTATTTTCATGAAGTAAATATTTTCGAAACTGTTAATTATTTCGATATAATATTGATACTATTCGAAAATATTTAATTTATAAATTAATAATTATATAAATTAAATAATTTATAAATTAAATCTATCGTTATAAATCATAATTAGCCCACATTATATTGAATGATATATGATATGAAATTTTTTATATCACAGTGAAAGAGCTATAATTCGAATATACAAAATCATAAAAATTATTTTCATGAAGTAAATATTTTCGAAACTATTAATTATTTTGATGTAATAATAGTAATACTGGAATATAAAATTAAATTATAAATTATAAATTAATCTATCGTTACGTCATACGTTAAATCATAATTAATCCACATTATATTGAAGAAATAAAAAAAATTTTTCTATCATAGCGAATTATAATTCGAATATATAAAATTGTAAAAATTATTTTCATGAAGTAAATATTTTCGAAACTATTAATTATTTTGATGTAATAATAGTAATACTGGAATATAAAATTAAATTATAAATTATAAATTAATCTATCGTTACGTCATACGTTAAATCATAATTAATCCACATTATATTGAAGAAATAAAAAAAATTTTTCTATCATAGTGAATTATAATTCGAATATATAAAATCGTAAAAATTATTTTCATGAAGTAAATATTTTCGAAACTATTAATTATTTTGATGTAATAATAGTAATACTGGAATATAAAATTAAATTATAAATTATAAATTAATCTATCGTTACGTCATACGTTAAATCATAATTAATCCACATTATATTGAATGATATATGATATGAAATTTTTTATATCACAGTGAAAGAACTATAACTCGAATATATAAAATCGTAAAAATTATTTTCATGAAGTAAATATTTTCGAAACTATTAATTATTTTGATATAATAATAGTAATACTGGAAAATTAAATTATAAATTATACATTAATCTATTATTATGTCATATGTTAAATCATAATTAATCCACATTATATTGAAAAAATAAAAAAAATTTTTCTATCATAGTGAATTATAATTCGAATATATAAAATCGTAAAAATTATTTTCACGAAGTAAATATTTTCGAAACTGTTAATTATTTCGATATAATATTGATACTATTCGAAAATATTTAATTTATAAATTAAATCTATCGTTATAAATTATAAATCATAATTAGCCACATTATATTAAATGATATATGAAATAAAATAAAATTTTTTATATCACAGTGAAAGAGCTATAACTCGAATATACAAAATCGTAAAAATTATTTTCACTTATAAAATAAATTATAAATTAATCTATCGTTACAAATCATAATTAGTCCACATTATACTGATAAGAAATAAAAAAAATTTTCTATCATAGTGAGTTGTAATTCGAATATTATTTTATAATTATAATAATTTTCGAACAGATGTTATTGTAAGTATTCTGATAAAATAGAACTTTATTCGAAATTTTTGACGCCCAACTCTTTCCAACAATACTACTAATTCATCAATAAATTCCTTCATTTCGATCGATCGCTTTGATCTGATAAATTATTCTCATAAAAGAGCGGAAGCGTAAAAATCGTAAAAGCGGGCGAGCCTGTCGAAGATTCGAATAAAATTCGAAGATTGTTTGCACGTGAGTTGCTCGCTTTCCCTTTTACGAAGTTTTAAAAAGTTTATACTAAGGGGACCTCTCCACTGCGAAAGATTAGATTCTTTCTCTCGAGGGTGAGGTGCACGCGGTTCACCGATGAATTCCTCCGAACCGAGAAATATTGCCCACCCTCGCCTCTCCACTCTGAAGGGGGAAAAAATATCCTTTCTCTCTTCCCTGAGATCTCTCCATCTTTTCAAACGTTTTCGTTCGTTTCGTCGTTCAGAGCCATCTTTCTTGCGAAACTTTGTGCTCGAAAAGAAAGGAAGAGAATTTTGACGATATCATTAAACTTTCTGAAAATTTACACGTTAGACTTACAATGTTTGCGTGTTAATTGTTCAGATAAAAATGTCTACTTTCTTTTTTGATTTTTCTGTGCCTTGCAGGAGGAGAAAAATTTCAATCCTCTTCTTAAACCAACACGAAAGGTGTTAATTTACCCTTCTTCTTTCCGTAGAAATCTTTCCACAAAGAAGCACAAAATCCCGTTTCTTCACGAATTCGCTTATAATACAAATTTTCCATAAAAATGATCGATGAGACGAAATGTTATTATGTGAATGATAACGTTTTAAAACGTTCGAAGTCGATCGAGATTTCGTGGGATTTTTTCATTCGAAGGGCGCAAAAGGTCGAGAGGCGCATCGATCCGTCCATCGAAGGTCAAACTCGATGCGCCGCCCACGTTTTTTCCCAACGAATATTCCAGCCATCTATCGTTACACGACGATTCGCGGCCGTGGGACGATGATTCATTGAGAAATTTCATTCATGTCAGAGAATACGGTAACGCAGCCCTCCTCGTCTCGTTGATTCGCTTAATAGAAGAGAATTGTACAGGGTGCCCCCGCCATTGGAGCGTTGCATCAGTTCGACGAGTAGAAATATGTGAAAAGAATATTGCAATGAAAATATTGCATGAGTCAGCGAAATGCTTTAGAAAGAAAAGAAATGTTATGATAAAAATATACGAAATATGAGATTTCTCGGACGACATATTCTCATGGAAAGATGGAGCTAGTTGAGCAGCTAGGTTTTTATCTGTGGGGAACACAGATCTCAAAAATGAAAGTGATTGCGTAGAATTAATAATAAAATAGAATTCGTTTGAAGAATTGGTAATAGAATAGGATTAATAGTTCAGTGAACTGAAGATAAAGATGAAACTCAATTTTCTTTAAGAGAAGCTTTAAACTTGTTTTCAATGAAAGGCGTGATTTTTAGATTTTATAGAATATATTGGTGCAATTTGATTGTTTAATCCGTAATTCAAAATATATTGCTCTTATTAATCTCAAATATAATGAAATTAATAAAGTTTCGATTGAGTATCGATATTTTGGAAAACAATTGGAAAACGAAGCCTTGAATCATCAATATGTAAAACTGAGGACACAGAATAAAGAAAGAAATTTCGTCGTATTCTCCAAAGAAAGATACGAAATGATAGATCTCTACCATTTCATCAAATTCATTTTTCTCGATACAATTTCATTGTATAAACTCATGTAATAAACTATCTATTCCATTTTTCTCAATATTAATTTCATTAAATATCGATATTTCAGAAAACAATTCTGAAAATGAATTTTTATCATTAAATTTACCCAGCAAATTATAGAAAAACACATAGAGAAATATAAAACTAAGAATATAGAAAGGAATTTCATTCGTATCCTCCAAAGAAAGACACGAAATAATAATTTCCACACGTATAATTAATAAAAGACAAGATGAGAAATGATAGATCTCTATTAGAAATACTCGTCCAATTCCATCCAATTCATTCCACTACAATCTATTCCATTTTTCTCGACATTAATTTTATTAAATATCGATATTTTAGAAAACAATTCATTTTGAAAATGAATTCTTATCAATAAAATTACCCAACAAATTGTAGAAAATTCGTATCTTCCAAAGAAAGAACACGAAATAATAATTTCCACATTAATTTAAAGACGAGATGAAAAATGATATATTTCTATTAAAAATATTCGTCCAATATTTCATCCAATTCCATCCCTTCTATTTTCATTTTTTCTCGACACAATTTCATTAAATATTTTAAAAAACAATTCTGAAAATTCTTATCATAAAA